GCAAATAAATCGATACAAAGAAATGATACGAAACCTGGCGTTTGATGGACTTCTCAGTGAAAGCACAGAAAATAATATACAATACGTTTATTATAAACATAAAATTCAATGCAAAGTCTGAATTAAATGTAGCGATAAGTAGTGGAAGTGATAATAAAAATGAAAGTGTGTTTTAAGTGTTTGTGTGAAACGTAAGCGCAATCAGAATGAGAGCCGCAAATAAATGCACAGAAAAATGGGTGAAAACAAACCCTAAAACAGCTGATCCGTGGAAGAGAGCGCCGCCGTAGTCGAAGTCGATGTCTGCGTTGGCGTTGAAGTGGTCGGCCTTCAGCGACGACTTCAGAGTACCGGCCTTTTTGCCGCTTTGGGGCGCGAAGTTGGCGCTGAACGCTAGCTTTGAGCCTTTGATCAGCTGATCCTCGACCGACAATTCGGTGGCCAACGTGTTATCGGTGTTCCACTTCTCCTTCAGTGTGAAACCCCAGTCACGGAAGTAGTACTTCGTCTCGAGAGAGGCGTTCACTCTTCCCGTGTCGTTATTGGAGGTGCCGTTGACTGTGAACTCCACTCCCGCCGGCGTTTTTGTCTTCACGTCCAACTTTATGAGTCCAAAGTCTATAAGAGTCAGACAAACATTACATATGAATGGTGTGTATGAATGGTAGGGATCGGTGGATGCGGTGGTAATGTCTTGTGATCTACGGTGAGGTCTGAATCGGACGCGAAAGACAGAGCTGTGCTTACGATAGTTTTTGGCGAACAGATCTCTGGCCTGTTTGCCGAGATCTCCATAAACTGGTGGTGCCATCGATGGTAGCAGTGGTAGAAGTGGTTGTAGTAGAAGTAGAGGTGGTGTGGGAACCGATCGGTCACTTCGCGACACAAATAAACAAAAGGTGTGATCAAGTGATGGTGTTTTGCAGCACTGCTTATACACACTGTGTATGCATTCAATGCATTCAATGCGCTGTCCTTTCAATGTGAATATGGGCTCCGATTTAGTGCTGTTTATGCTATCAATACATTTCAATGCTATTATACAACAGCAGAGTCTATGAGAGTCTATGCCATAGAGTCTATGGTCTGATTGTGTGACGCAAGCGCTCAAAGGGTGGCCCCAATCAAAGCCCCCGTCAATTACGGCCCAAAACACCGCAACAACAGCACAGCCTATGCTATGCCAGAGGGCTCTCAATGTGTGGCACGTAATGCATGTTTGGCAACGATTTGTGCACTCATTGCCAGCGATTGGATTCAAAAACACTTTTCATTGAATGAGTGAGAAATGCGTTCAAAAAAAGTCATCACTTTTTTTGTTGATTTTTTTCGTGTCATTAAAAACTCAAACCCAATGTCTCTCTCACTCTCTCTCTCCCCCACACTCTCTCGCACTCTCTCCCGCTTTATCTCTCACTCGCTCTCTAATCAGTGATCACTAGATTAGAGATGAGATAACGACTTGTGAATCGAGATTTGCAAACAAATCACACAATCATTGGATCTCTTCATTCAAAGCGAACAAAATCTGTGATCAAAAACAAGTGTCTGAAGAAATAAAAGCCATTCCTCTGGTAATCATTGACTGAATATATATTGTTTTCATCATTTGTTTGGCATTTCTCTGAATGTAAACCACATTTGAATCGCAACCGATTCACACGTTTCACTGCTTTTTTGTATTGAAATCTATGAGTGTTTGAAATGTATGTATCGCTCGTTAATTAGTTCCCAAAAACAAGAAGTTATGACAATTACTTCACAGATGAATGACTTTTCGCTTCAAAACCAAATATTGTCGACGATATCAATCATTTGACAACTGATTTGGTGCCTAACAAACGCTACCATTCGCTCATTTATAGCCATTTTAAAGTTAGTTTTGTGTCCCAAAGAGTTATGGATAATTCGGTGGACGAGTGGAGCGCCGAAGATGTGGGCCTTTGGCTCCAGAAGAATGGCTTCGAGACATATGTGCGTCAGTTTCGCGACGAACACAAAATCGATGGCAAGTGTTTGCTTACGTTAACGGAAGACGACCTCCGGAGTCCTCCCC